TAATAGTAATTCAAATGCAATATTTAGCCAGTGGGACAGAATCTCATGATAGCAAAAGCTCACATCAGACACAAATGAACTTGCCAAAACGCTAAAGATCAAATAGAGTGTGAAGCACAGATTAGAAAAATAAAAAAAGACGTATATCGCACCTGATATCGTCATCGCGATATTTACAAATATTATCACCATCGCAAGATTTTCTAATATCAAGCAGCCCTATTACAAACTGATCTCATCCAGAGATTGTGAAAATAACATAACAGTTGCTGAAGCTGTAAAACCACTCTCCTCTATCTAAGATGGTACAATTTATTCCCTGTGTCTTCCTCTGGCTTCATAAAATAACTACAGTCACCGTCCTGATACTTACGAAGTGTACGAAATTTGCGTAGTGTAAAAAAATCAACTTTTGTCAAGTTAATAGCAGCTTAGAACAGGTCCGTTTAAAAGCAAACCTCAACCAACTAAAACCCCTGGCAGCAGTTTGTTTCCTTCCGTTTTGACATTCATCTCTTCGGTTTAGTCGAATTTAAGGCGGGCTTAAGTTGGGTTTATTCCCACTGAGTGACAGATGTGTAGATTTAGGCAGGATGGGGTTGAATACGCAATCAGAAGAGGAACAGAACAGAGGAATGATTCTGCTCATCTCTGCAAAGAGAGGTGGCAAAGCTTTAATAAGAAGCGATTCTCCCTGCTTCTCTCTTTGTTTGCCCCGGTTTTGTCCCGGATTGCGTTCGATTCACTCCCATCACCTCCCCTCTACTTGCGCCAAGACGTTCACAGGAGCAACGAAGGCGCCGCTGAACCTCTGAGGGTAATCCAGGATAAATAATGCATCACATTTTTGATGAGGTGCTATCCTATAGCCTCAGAGAGAACGCTCTGCTGCAGGGATCCGGCTCGCTGGCAGCTTGATGTATGGAGAAGTGAGAGGTAGAATAACAGACACGGAGAAAGGTATCTCTGTTATTCTTACTCAGGCCTACTGACAGAAAGGGAAAGTAAAAGGTAGAACGATAAAGACAAAAGAGCTGGATTGTGACAGATGCCCTGCRTGAAAACAGTAACACATCTCTGCAGCTGAGCAAAGAGGCTTTGCATTTTGAGTGACAAATCACTTAGTGGCTTTGTCAGCTGCCAAAACTAGAGATTATCTGGAGAATTGGCTCAGAGAAGAAATGTTTAGAAACAGGACAACTGTTTTTTAATGAACTAATTTCAAGAGATTAGTGTTAAAAGTTACAGCTTATTTAACAACTCTAAAAGTCATTTCCAGATAGTTGAGAACAATTCTGTTGTTTTGTGTGCACGTCCATCTCTGAGGTTAAACAAGAGTCAGGTCCTCCGGATGGGTTCTTCTTTGTTGAAACGTTTTGTCTCTTCTCCAAGAGCCTAATAAGCAGTGCCTCCACATGGTGGACAAACAAGTTTAAGGACGACAACCAAAACTGTTTATGCATGTGCAAAAGAAGGCCATTGGCCTAACAAGGACAAGGATTGGGCATAGTTTGAATTTGAACAATTCCGGTTYGTCGTTTCAATTCCACTTCCCAACGATTCCCGATTCTTTTTAGAGGCATGGCCAAAATATTATTCTTTTCCTAAAGTTAAGATAGGTTTTAAATCACTGCCACACATAATATATGCTGATTCTTTTTTGTTGGTTTTCGGCTGCTTGTTCTTTTGTTTGGCTGACCTGGTTTTAAAACTAGGAATGAAAATTTCAAATTTAAAATAATGTTGGGACAATCGTAAAGTTGGTCACAGTTCCAGTCGAGACTCGATGCCCAACCCTATCAAGGATGAGAACATCTTCATCTCTAAAAGAGTGACCACTTGCCTGTACATGAGTGTAAACTGCAGAGTCCTGGTCTATAGATGAGTGTAGACTGCAGAGTCCTGGTCTATAGATGAGTGTAGACTGCAGAGTCCTGGCCTGTAGATGAGTGTAAACT